TATTAGCATATTCAAAAATTGGATTTAACAATTTGTGTGCGCACAGTATATTAAATGTAGATGCTTTTATTACAATCTTCCTTGCCACGTATTTTAAAACAAAATAAATCAATACAATCACCGTAACACTCTCAGACAACAAATTAACCCCATCCAAACAAGATACAGTTGAGATACTCAGAAAGGCAGTATAAGTAGCTGAAAACCTTGGTCCTCTGATTTCTGTTGTATAGCACATTGATTATAGATTTTTCCCATCTACAGTTAAAATCAGCAAACAAACATTAAAGTTAACCATTCATATGGCAGATTTCTAAAATGTTTATATTGAGTGTGAATAGCACTGGTTTCAGCACAATGTCTTTATGCATGTTTCCCGAGGAGGTATACAGGAATTTTAAACATGTAGAGACTAATCTGGGCCCAGAATAGAGTAGAACATTTTAACTTTTGGTATCTCCTGCACAATGGCTCTGCAGACACAGTAATCAAAATGGCTGACCACATACACTGCCAAATTTATTCCAGAAAAAAGGGATCTAACACAAATTACTTCCAGTAAGAAAAAAAAGAAAGAATGGTGGAAGAAGTTGACTGGACACAAACATCAAGCATTCACCGCTGCCATGTGCACAGGCACTTCAGCATCAGAAGCTGCTCCACTGCCAACTTCACAGATACACGTGGGACTATGAGTGGCACTGAAGTCAGCAGTCCCCACCTGGTGAATGCTGGACTGGTGGGTTATAGAAACCTTTCATGCTGTTAGGACGGTCATGGAGAGATAATTCAATCTCTGGGCTAAAGTGCTTGTTCTCTTGTAATCAATTAGTACCAACATTGATTTAGACTAACGATTTTTCTTTACTTAAGGATCTGCAAGTGGAGCAGACAACCGTGATAAGTCTCCCCCGAGCCCTTAAGTAAAGCTTGGGCAGCTATCTAATACTGAGACACTTCTCAGCTGCCTCAGAAAGACAGCATGAATTTAAGAGACAGATGCAGGTATTACATGCGGGAGAGGAGGGAATAGAACATTGGACAGGACTGTGCTGAGCCTTTGAATTTTGTTCTGCAAACTCTCTGGGCAAAGTGCTGTGTTACTTTGGACAAATAAAAACACATCTAAGTATGTATATGCGGACATTTAAAAATCCTTGTTGACATGTTGTGACTACAAAACATTAGCTACAGATCGTATTTACAGATAATTTCTGATGTTTGTTGCTGGCAAGAGATGTCAAGCCCAATTCTTCACTGAAGACATAAACCTGACCTAATTTAGATCAGGTCAGTGGGAGTTTAAAACAGATGTCACATGACCAACTCCCAGGGACATAAGCAGAAGCAGCTCTACAGTATCCAGCTACTGCAAAACAGGAACTTTTGAATATTGAGCACATTAGTATGGTTATCTTTTTATTTTTTTTGCATCAATATGTCACAGATTCTAAGGAAGGCATGAATTTTCCTGGAAGCAGTGGAAAAAGATCATACCTGACAGATATAAACTGCTCCTACAATTCTCTCTCTCTCTTTTATGGCAAGGTTGATGGTTTACAGATGAAACCTTATTTGTAAGGTAGCTTTAAGTTTCCTAAATTCCAGGCTTCTTTATTTCAGTGAAAACCAGCCCTGCCTTTCCCTGAATTCCTTTGTGAAAGTCTGTTTTTAGTGCCAAAAGCAGTTCTGCTGTCTCATACTTACTAAAAGGGTTTTTCCCACGTCCATGCTTACAACAGGAACACTTTCTTTGACAGCATGTTTTGACAGCGCATACTTAATTCAGCTTTCAAAAAATAAAGGCCAAGTTTAACTCTCCTTTTGAGACCCTGATGTGAGGAACTGAAGAACCTCGATTTTCCACTGCATTAGTGCAGAGATGGCCATCGTAAGGCTCTCTGGCCCCAAGCAGCTCCCAAGACAGGCCATGTTACATGACTAGCAATGAAGCTAATGCTGGTGCAGGGGGTGCTGTGCTGTGCAATCCACAGCCCTGGCTATAGGACAAAGTGCACCAGGAGCCACTTCCAGAACCAGCTGAGCTCTGTGCTGGCCCTAGAAAGCAAGTGCCATTTACTGTATGTGGATTGCTCCTAGGATTTGTCTAATTCTTGGCAATCTGAGGGACATAGTGGAGGTCTCAAAGCTTGGCCATCTGAAAATTCTTGTATGTGACCCAGAAGAGCTGCAAAACTGGACACAGGTGGGTGAGGGTGTCAAGCATAATGCCACAAAGTCGACAAAGATACGTACAGGCAGGGAAGTTCAATATGTTGATCCCTTCATCCCAAGAGGACAGGAAGAACAATACACTTCCACATGAAATAGTCTAATTTTAAAAGATGAAGAAACTCAAGAGTTATGTTAGGAATATGGTATGCAACACTTTCATCAATGCTAGAAACAGTTAAATCCTTTTTTGTTCAACTACTGAAATGCACCGCCAGCTAAAGTATTTAAATACCGTTGATGAATGCAACTATCTCAAAAAAGGCAATTGTATTCCTGGCACAACCGCCCAAGCAAAAAAGCAGCTTACCTAAAAAGGGGACAAATTATTATTACTGAGCTCTTTTCTAGCCTATCTGGAAGTGTGTGCTCCAGAAGGAAAAAAAGCAACTTGCAACCATTTAAAAATACAGTGCTGCAAAGAAAGGCCATTTGTTGTTCTTCACAGAATCACAGAATGGTTGAAGTTGGAAGGGACCTCCAGAGATCACCTAGTACAAGCCCACTGCACAGACAGGGTCAGGTACAGCAGGTTGCTCAGGGCCATGTTCAGTCAGGTGTTAAATATGTCCAAAGGCAGAGACTCCACAACCTCTCTGGGCAACCTGTGCCAATGTTTGATCACCCTCACCGTGAATTATATTTTTTTAATGTTTAAATGGCATTTCCTGTATTTCAATTTGTGCCTGGTGCCTTTTATGCCTTTGTTGCACACCACTGAGAAAAGCCTGGCTCCTTCTTCACTGCTTCCCATAAGATCCTCATATACACTGTTAACATAGTTCATGTCTTTTTACATGTTGGATACCAGCTGTGAGCTCATCTGTGTTACTGACTGCTAACTGCAGTGATTGTTCACATCACCAAAATTATTATTGCTATAAAGTTATTTCATGGCAGTGGTTACTAAAAACTGTGGAAGTAGAGTCATGTTTTGTAGGCAATTTCTGGTGTTTTTTTACGTTAAAATTCTCAAGTGATTTTAAAAAAATTTTTAATACCAAATGCATGAGAGGAAATAAAATTATTATTAGTTGTTGAGAGTAAAACCCTAAAGTTTGCATCCTATGTTTACTGCAAAACATGTTAATCTCTACATTTCAGTTGCTTCAGAGATACGGAAAATGAGTGATTTCAGTAATATATTATGAAATCTTATTAATAAAATCTATTCAGCTAAAAAATCACTTTCAGAATAATTTACTCTTCTACTAAGTGAAACCAATTAACTTTTACAATGGCAGAAAATCCACAACAAATGGTGGGACAAATGAAGACTTCAGTGGCCAAAGCAATCTCCAAACCGGCTGCTCTGGGGACTCTGAAGCTATGCAAGTGACACTGGAAGTTAGGCAGGTGTGATGAGGAAGGTGCAGGAAAGGTGTCTGGGAGACAATCAAGAGTGGGTTTCCTGAGCATACTCAGGTATTAAAGAAAAACTCAGCACTTCCCTCTAAGGCAAATCTGCTTCATGCCACTGCAAGTAAAAATGCAATTTTAATATCCCTATGTCATGTGAGACACCACTAAAGCTCATCAACTGAATTTGGATTTAACAACCCACTAGACCTCATCTTGGAAGAAGAACCTCAGTTCCATATGGAAAACATACAGGAGTATGAGTGGTAGTTCCTGTCAGCATATCTGCCCTACTGGTATATACATGGTGATGTATATGACACTGAAACTATGAAGAATCTCATTTTGAAGCCTTATGATGCAGAATTTTGAAATAAAGATGCATTAATAATGCATTTCTGTAATCTCCAATCTGTGTAGGCTGCAGAGACACTGTGAACAAATCTCGTGTTTCACTGCATTTGGTAAGCATGTGTAATTTACTAAACTAAAAATGTTACTTTTACCATATTCCTTCATTGATAAGCTTGCAAATAGTGCTCACTATTGTGGAAGTGCCCTACGTAGTTTGGAAATACCTCCACCCATGAAGAACAAACTAGGGTAGCCAGCTTTCAGGGTAAGAGCTGCTTTCTCTTTTGTCCTTACAGAATGTTTGATAGTTAAAAACTAAAAGAATCAAATCTGGCCTCAGAGGTAGAACTACAAACTTCTAACCAGTGCTACCGAATAGAGATACTATCTTATTGATGAAAATGTTCCTGGAACAGCTTTTGGAAGAAAATCATGAGGGCACCTACAGACATTAGAAATAAGCAGCCAGTACCTGCAAAAACTGAAATTATGCAGCTGTTCATTGACAAGAAACAGGAGCAGTTATCAGTAACATGAATGACACCTCAAGGTCACTTCACAGTACTTATAAATGCCAAACATCTTCAAAGTATTCCTACACACAAGCAGAACTTTGTGTGTAGTTTTAACCCTGCTTAGTTTCATAGCAGCCGAGATACCGAATACCAGAGCAGGTAACCAGATATCTCCAGGAAAGGGGAGCATGGAGCCAGCTCCATTGGCACTAGATGCCATCCTGAAATATACTTTCCAGTCAGTCAAGCATTCCATTAGCAAATTCACATCTAAAGTCTTTGGCAAGGCAAAAACACTGTACTCTCTTGCCCGGGTAATTACACAGACTAAGTGAATTTGACAGCCATTTTGATACCTGGTAATACACTTCAATGCACACTGTTTTGTTTTTAAAACTGCGCAAGGCCAGCACATATGTTTGAGAGTGGGTATCTGCCTATGCTGGGCACTATTTCATGAAAGTCAGTTTTCTGTCACAGATCTAAGGCAAATATTACAATTTACAGGAAAGAAATGAGGACATCAATACATTGTGCGTTATTGGAGACGTACAGCCTTTATAACACAGTGGCTTTCACTATGATCTCTGGGTTTTCTATGTCCTTTTTGCTTTGGACCATTCTCAGTTCCAGCTGGGCTGAGTTTGGTTTGTTTCCTTCTCCAGCTTGTGCTAAAAAGATGACATTAGAATGTCAGTAAAAAACAGCAGGTTAAAAAGAAACAAGTTGCATTGCTCCGTTACCCCACTATTTTTTCTACTCTCCTCCCCTCCCCAGTCTCTCTTACTACCCTCTGCTACAGGCTTCCACTGTGGACGATCCAGGCCCGCACTCTTATCATGCCTGTTCTGCACCTCTCTCCAGGATAGAAATGCAGCTCTGATGCTATTAGAAAATTACACAGATGTACTCAGAGAATCAAGAGATCCCATCTGGATCTCCTCAGGAATTGAAAGGCACAGGAACTCCTAGAGAAGCTGAAAAAAACCACTGTTCACATGGAAAACCGACTGTTTATTATTAGTTGATAAACCCCTATCAAAATTAAACACACACAAAGGGAAAGTGAGCGAGTTGCACTTAAAACAGAAGCTCTGTTGCATGTCAAACTCAGCATTTCCTCAAATTCTTTCACTACTGTTTTGCAACCCAGTCAACTGCAGTCAGCATGACTGTAGTCCCACTACAAGGTGAACAGTGACATCTTCAGTCGGGTGTTGTGAAAAATAGGCTTGGAGGACACAGTGAGGAACATGCACTGATCAGACTACCAAGCTCTCATTCTGTAATTTCTCTGTCTGCTTCTGCAATGAGGGCTGCCTTTAGTCAGAAAACCTAGAAAGCTCTCTGAATGTTTCCTCTGATGCAAATCCAGACAAAACAAGGTTGGAATAAATTACCTTTTGCACTCTTAATGGTTCTTTGCAGAACATGTTGCATGGCTGACACAGTTTTTTCACATGCCACCTGCATTAACAGAATATATTCAGGTTTTAGTAAAATTTTAGCTGCCTGCGGTTTAATACTATTTCAAACCCCCTGCTATTTAGAGGCAAGTAGGATGCACAAGATGCAAAGAAGATGACAAGTACACAATGCAGTTTGGGGGGAAAAAAAAACAATTCAAACTCTCTTAATTCTCACGAAACAGGTATTAGAAACCATGCACCTGCAATGTGCTTAAGCGAAAGAAACAGAAAATAGATCTGCTAGATAATTTTCAGTGCTTATTAAGAAATGACAGTAAAAAAATATAATTACAACCATGCATGGAGTCTCTCTCTCTCTAGAGAGAACATCTTATTTGGCAAAATTACAAAATATATGTAACTCAAATGCAAATGTCTGAAGTTGTATCATGTTTCGGGAACAGGAAAATTCTGCTTTTCCTCCTCTGAGGAGAGGAAAAGGAGTCAAAACAGAGAAGAGTCTTACGTAATGTCATAGATTAAATGTAATTAAAAAAAAGAAAGTCTAAACTTAGAGAGACCCTAATAACTTCTCCCTCACCTTCAAATTGTTTGGATGCTTATGTGTCCATGCCAGAAGCATAGCAGCAAATAAGTCTCCAGTTCCAACAAAAACAGCATCCACTTTGGGAGACTCCATTCGAATTCTTTGTGTCATCTTGGTACCGTCTGCTTTAGCTACAACACAGATAGACAGTCAAGTAACAGACGTGGCAATTAATCATAGAATCATAGAATCATAGAATCTTAGGGGCTGGAAGGGACCTCGAGAGATCATCTAGTCCAACCCCCCTGCCAGAGCAGGGTCACCTAGAGTACATCACACAGGAACTCATCCAGGTGGGTTTTGAATATCTCCAGTGAGGGAGACTCCACAACCTCCCTGGGCAGTCTGTTCCAGTGCTCTGTCACTCTCACAGTAAAAAAATTTATTCGGATATTCACCTTGAACTTCCTATGCTCCAATTTACACCCATTACCCCTTGTCCTATCACTGGTCATCACCGAGAAAAGCCTAACTCCATCTCCCTGACACTCACCCCTCACATATTTGTAAACATTGATGAGGTCACCCCTCAGTCTCCTTTTCTCCAAGCTAAAGAGACCCAGCTCCCTCAGCCTTTCCTCATAAGGGAGATGTTCCACTCCCTTAATCATCTTCGTAGCTCTGCACTGGACTCTTTCGAGCAGTTCCCTGTCCTTCTTGAACTGAGGGGCCCAGAACTGGACACAATACTCCAGATGCGGCCTCACCAATGCAGAATAGAGGGGGAGGAGAACCTCTCTTGACCTACTAACCACACCCTTTCTAATGCACCCCAGGATGCCATTGGCCTTCTTGGCCACAAGGGCACATTGCTGGCTCATGGTCATCCTCCTGTCTACCAGGACCCCCAGGTCCCTTTCACCTACACTACTCTCCAGCAGCAATTTAAAGCAACTGTAATTTAAAAGTGATCACTAGATTTTAATTCCTTTGTTGTTACGACCATAAAAGATGCTAAGGAGCATTGTACCAGCTCTTTTAAAAGGTACACCCTTTCAGAACTTGGACAAGTTAGGACAGCATTGACAGCTTACAGACTGTACCTACTTGAGGGGGAGCAGGAAGCTAGCACCTTCATTTTCATGGAGGATTGAGAGCCACCTATTTTTGTTCAGACAGCAGTAGCACCTGGCTTAGGAAATGGTGTATTTATGGAGACCACTGATTCCTAGACAGGGCACACCAAACCATAATCTAGAGTATCTCTGGGTTGTATGGAGGCACAAGAGCAGCTGCAGACATCAGCAGAGAGTATCAGATCCACGTGCCATATTGTAATCACCATTGCAATGACCAGACTTACTCCAGACCTGACACATACAAGTGCTAAGAGATACTAACTGATTCCTTAGTGGAGTCTGCTTTAAATATCAGTACTTTTTTTGGTCTCTCAGTAGTCCAGAATCTGATACCCACATTTAGATCACTTAGATTAACAATAAAATAATATACCAATCTTACATAACTATGCCCTTCTCACATAAAAACAGCCTGTGACAGTCCAAAAAGACAGTGAATCTTGGTCAAAGTATAGAAGAGGAAATAAAGAAGCTGCAGAAGGACATTTTACAACCTAGCAGGGCAGGAACAACCTACTAACAGGACAGTGTAACTTTTCATAAAAACATTCAAAACATTCAGAATTCCTGTTTTATTCCACTACTACTTGTCAGGGCCACTTACTAGGGACTTTAGCAGCCCTGATCAACCTCACCAAGAACATTCTTCAACCATGCACTCTCTGCCCACTTGTCCAGGAGCAGCACAAAAGCTCAGGCCTGGGTACAAGCACCCTTGCCTGAGCTCTGCTGTTTTAAGTACTGACTGGATTTTCCACATTAACCTCAGACCTGGCTTGTCTCACCTTTCTCCAATGATCACTGGACTGTCAATGGGACCTGTCTGCCATCACCACCCCTGTCTGGCTCACCTTACTTAGACACTGTGGGCCTCTGCCCTGTTGGTGAGGACAGTACTCCATCTGTGTTACAATCACACTCAGCTCCCAGCTTGTCTTCCCTCATGGGGGAGGCTCATGCTTATTGCTCTCTGATACTACTGTAGAAGGATCTCCCTTAAGGATTTAAGCTCCTCCTATACACTACACATGGGTCTGATGAAACCACTTCTTCATAAAGTGAAATCACACAACAGTTTAATAGAAAGCACAGTTAAAGGAAGGAGTTAATTCCTTACTTTTTCTGTGGCTTCCCAGAGCAATTAGGTAGTCGTTTCCTAGAGGTGACTGTAGATCTGAGCTTGTGATCACCACAGTCTCTGGTCCCATGGCATGGAGCATATCCATTACCTTTCCATGTGCAAAGAAGGCAAGTATCAGTGACTGCAATGTGTTTTAATTAAACCTAGAATCATCCACAGTACTAAGGATGTTTAACAAGCACTTTATTTTGGCATCTTTACTAAAAAGAAAAAAATAGTTTCTACTCAGAGAATTCAATTGAATTAGGGGAATTAATTTGAAATACCAGAATCAAACGTCTGTATTTAAATTTACACACTTCCTAAAACATAAAAGCACCTCTGTATTATCTTTGGATGCTCCTCTGAAAAGAATACAATGTTTCAGCTGCGATCAGATTGTTTTGTCTCCATCATGTTTTCAGAACATACCACCAAAAGAGAACAAATATACAGACACACACGTGCTTACATGCACATGAGCTGGCATCTTCAAACCCTTGCTAGAAAGACATTAACTCCAAGTCAGGAAGTCTTATCTAGCCACTAATTTAAGAGTTAGCAAAAATGAAGAGACAAATCAGAAGCATAGCTATGTCTGTTGCAAACTTCTTTTTTCATTCTGTTTCAAACCCCAGATGGTACCTGTAAATTATGTACCTTTGCAGATGCACTTCCACTGTTTGTGTTCCTCACTTTAATTAATTAACACTACTTCTGACATCACAATTGGGTTGCTACAGAAGTAATTCTGATTTCACTAAAGAAAGAGCAACTTCAGTAACAAGTTTAGCATAAAACCACAGATAAAATATTAATTCTCACAGAAGAGCTTAACAAAAAAGCCTCTCACACTTGCTATGACTCATGGGCAGCTGAATTATAAGAATTTATTTCTGCTATTTTTAAATTATCTGTTGCTTTTCTTTCTTGTCTAAACCTCCTCTTTGCACAGACATTGGCTGGGTTTTAAAGCAGCAGTAAATCCACCAGCACATACTGACATAATCAATCTGTGAAGTAGTACTAAACTCCTTTTCATTTCTCAGTCATAATTCACCACGAACCTAATAAACAGTACTTCTAGTTGTAGGACTTAGCCCATTCTACAATGTTATTATGTCATACTTGATTTTATGTTAGAAGACTATACTGTCATCAGTAGTCCTTGCTAAAGAAATTAATGAAAGCATGTTACCACAGAAATTGATGCCAGAATTCCTACCACCTCCAAGGGGGACAAATTCCAGCATGGTTTATTATTCTGAAAGATAGACTTATATATGGCATGCAGCCTGGGAGACAGTCAGATTAAAATATGCAAGCAACTATTTTTAAAATGGAATTATACTTTGGAATGGAAGCATCTCTTTAGAAAAGACTTTTAAAAGTCATCACAGATAAGAGCTAGCACATCAGTCAGACAGACTGTCAGAAAACTAACTTGTAAAAGTTTGGCATGTGCAGCTGAAATATGCAAACCTAAAACTAATGGCTGCTCAGCTAACAGTGTTGTTCTCAAGACTGTGGTTCCACTGGTGAGGATCAGAAGAGAAGAACTGAGGCGTAGTTAGCAGCTAGAGGCATGAAGCATAATTCATCCCCCCTGCCCAGGCCAATGTGGAAATGTAAAACTGGGGGGGTGCAAGGGGTGCACAAACTGGAAGAGCTGAGATATTTGGAGCTGCTTCCTGCCATGAAGAGATGGTAATCAACACATGTAGTTTGACATCACTGGGGGAAAAAAAAAACAACAAATGTTTGGGCTAACAGACCCCAGCTACTCTCCAGGGTGCCACTGCAGCTGCTGTTTGTTTGAAGATTGTGTCCCTTTGAAGTTCAAAACAAAACGGGAAGAAATGATATCAGCTCATTATGAAAGCACTTGACTAGTCAACAAAACAAAGAGCTCAGCCCTTTTCAATACAGCAATAAACCCATCTTCCTATTTTACCAAACCCTACAACCCTTTTTTTAGTATTTTGTGTAAAATGGCAAATCCCTGCACCTCACTACCGTGTATCTGTAGACCACCTATCATCTCTGTATGGCGATGAGAGTAGTTATCAACGCCATGGATTTGTCTGTCTTTCACTAGGAAGGATGCAAAGGCAGTCTACCAGTCTTGTTACTCGTCTATGTAGTCTATGCTTTTGCAACCCAGGCCTCATCTTCTCTGAGTCAGTTTAAGGAAAAGAAACAAAGCACCAGCAAGCAATATCAAGCACTATCAGGAAGGCACTCAGAGAGTATTCAACCAACCCTTGTAAGAATGGGTAAGAATGGGTTAGTAAGCTCTCTCCCTTGCAGTCTGTATGGGCGAATGAGAAACTGCTGTCCCCGCTCAGCTTTGCTGCTGCACGACTCCCATGCGGACAGCAGAGGGAGCTACTCACGCAGGTTTTTAATGCCCAGAGTCACTGGAGGGTCTTCACCCCAACCAGGGCACTTCCACAGAGCTGACAGTGTGCGGTTACTTGTAATGTGTGCTGCTACCTCCCTTCTCATACTGCGGAAAAGCAAGCTCACAGAGATCTACTCATTACCACTGTAATGCCTTTATCTGAAGCTCTTGAGGAATGTTTCTTCAGAAGTCTGTCACTAGAACACAAAGTGATTTGTGTCTGGAGTACACAAGCTTTAGTGATAAATGGAGAGAAAGGGCAGATGCCACAGTGACTTCAACGTTAAAGACAAATGACAAACTGCAGCATTGCAGGCAGGAATACAGAAAGAGATCTTGGACATCCTACCCCTTGCCTACTTACCTCTAAAGCTTCTTTTTCTGTGTGAATCTTCCTGCCCGTGAGTAACCTGAGAATGAAACAGAAATCTTAAAAGAGTCCAGGTTCTCCAGGCAGAGACTGCTTTCTTTACTCTTTGAAAGGAGAAAAGCTTGGACTGCACCATACAGGCTTAAATTATGTGTAACTACATGGTCTGTGATACCAGATCACTTTCATTAGAAGTTATGGACACAGATAAACAGTGCTTCTGAAGCAGACTCACACCAGTCCTAACTTGCCTTCTGTAGAGATCCCTGTATCATAAAATGCCCCTGCAAGTGTATTCTTTCATCTCCTATGAAGGTGCTCCCTCCCTTAGGGGGACAGCCTATGATGTACCACTGCATCTCCTGACCAAAGAGTGACAGCTACACAGACAGGACAGGCAGAAAAATTCTTAATTCCTATGAGATGCTGCCACAGAAATATTACTTTCTGAATCTCATTTTACATGTTTGAGTCAATTATTTCAGTTTTTATATTCTGACATATAATAAAAATCTTCCTATGAATGGTAGGGATGAGGAAGGAAAGAGGTATTTTTTTAACCTGCCCTAGATACAGCTTTCTGGAGACAAAAAGAAGTAATAATGAAAATGAGAAACAGGAGAAAACAAGAAAAATCTTCTCCTCAAATAACTCCTAGATTTTTAATTTGTTTAAATACGGAACAGCTGGAGGTTTGCTGGAAGGCATCACTTGAAAGTGGCAGCTAAAAACCAAAACCCACCACATACATACGGCACCGGGCTGAGACACATAAAAGAGAGGGTATCAGTCTTCCCTGCTTTTATCCCCAAGTTTATTTGGCTATAAAAGGAAATAAGTACTTACTCAGCTTCAAACTGGTTAGGAGTAATTATATCAGCAACAGGTACAACTTTGTCCCTGTAGACTGGGAGCAGATCCTTGGGCACATACTAGGGGGGGAAGAAAAAGTATTGAATGTTGTCAGCAGCATCCGAGATGTGGGAATGCAATTCTCCTTCCCTCAACTACCATCCATGCTGCCCAGTGTACTGTTATGCAGCAGGAACTGCAGTGGCAATGCATCCTCCAGCTGATGACAGTAAAGCTGACAGCCCTTCCTTTGCTGGAGGCAATAGAAAGCACAGCTAAGCAGACAGGCCTAAACTGGCAACATTAAAAGGAAGAGATGCTTGGATGAAGAACTTTTTGGGTTTACTCTCATCAAGGTGATACAGCAGCATGAGGAAATACAGTGTCCCAATATGCAGAGCCCTTTCTCATTTCTCTACCTTAAGCTCCTTTGCTGTTTACCTGCAGCACAGGGATTCTCTGCTGCACCAGTGTGTGGCCACATTGCTCATGTTGCACTGTGTGGCATAGGAATAAGTAACATCCATGATACATATTATTTTGTCTCCTTCTTTGACTGCAGCATTTCTGTATATTAATACGGATGAAGAGGAATCAGATTTGTAATTGTTCAGTACAGCTTAATTTAGAAAGCAGTACTGATAACTACATTAAAAATATTTTGCTTGCATTGCACCCAAGTCTAACAAACTGCGAGAATACTTCACTGCCTGAAGAATCAGCTTTTCAAGCAATGAGGGCAAATGCTCCACTTTCTGCCTGCCTGTTCCATCTCTATCCCATCTTTGTTAGCCAAACACAGCCCATCAGCAACGGGAGATGGGTTGTCTAAGACTTGGCAGGAGCCCATCAATCTGTATGCTCTTCAGACTCAAAGCTGAAAAGCATGAGCTGTTTTGGCACACGATGGAGATCAGCTAGGAGTTCTAGTTAGATGAGTACAGGAGTCCAACTGACCTTCCGGAGTCCTGCTGTAACTCAATTTAACAAAAACTGTAACAAAGTTCATTCTTTACTAGCAGATAAATTTTTTTTTGCCAAACCTCATTTGCTAAATCATGAAGATTATCTGCTTCCATCCCTATTTTACTTCTTGTTAGGCTCATAAGATACCTAGGGCATGGCTGCATATATAAATGTGCCCACGTGCTACTGGTAAGACTAGGTCACATCTAAATTAAAGCATTTTAGATAATAATTTCATTACATTTTATGGCAGGAATGACTTGGTGTTTTTTAATGTTAAATTTTCACCTTCTCTTCCAACTGCCTTGTCTTCCACCCAAAAGACACAGGTAGGCCCCTGGTTAGGACTTTAAAGAGTTTGCAAGGTGACTCTATGACTCTACAGCCACTAAATCTCTGCCTTGCTAGAAAAAGCCAGGGCAAATAAATATTGCAATAGACATGAAGGTGATGTTTTATGAGCAGGTAAACTGTAAAATGGTACAAGGACAAAGAGGAATTCATAGAGCATGACTAGCTAAGGCAGAAAATATAATAAAATATCATTACTGCTGTTGTCTTCCCACATTGCATTTTTTACTGAAATTATTTACTAGTTTTGATCAAAAAGTAATGTTTCTTTGTCAGCATGCAGTACTGGCACATAGAACCCTTCTGCCACTGATCACAGCTCAATGTGGAGCAGCTGTTTGATTGTACATGAAATAAGTCATCTTCATGTAGGTTCAAGTGGTATGTCAATTCACACGATCTCTGACAATGCCAGCCAGGTTACAAGCCAGAATAGACCTCTTGACAGAAGATAAGGGAACACCAGTGAGACAATAAGGGGGAGCAGGGGGATATTTTCCTGCAGATAGGGTCTGTGTTCTACCTATGGACTCAGAGAGTTGGAAATAATCCCAGGGCTAGGCAATCACCATTCTTCCTAGACACTATGGTCATTCAAACGCAGGAAATTCAAGTACAAACTTAGTTCATGCTGGGATCCACAGCAACATTTGTATAAAGTAGCTTTATTTTTGTATTTAAAAATTAATAAAACTTTATATAGCAAATATTCACCATAAAGAGAAAACAAACAGGTAAATACTAACCATAGAGCCTTCTCCATTCCATTTGTCACCCATCACTGGATCACATACTGTAAGAGAACAAATCTAGCTTTAGAATGGGGGGACAGTTAGAGACTCTGGTGAAAGGGAAAGGTTTTAGGTAACAGTAGTGGCTAAGTAACAGCACTGAATGCTTGACAGCTCACATATTCACTCAGCTCTTGGAGAACACACAACCTACTGCAAACAGAGGGTTGTACTCAACCTTTCCAACCTGATTCCATTATACTATGTCTGAAGGTGATGGGGATGACAGGGTCTGACTGTTGGGAGTGAAGGGGCTTTTGTCATGGAAAATGCAGAGCCCTCATTTTCACTCCACAATGCAAAACTATGGAATATCAGTATGGTAGGGAAGAAACAAGGAAAAAACTTAAGAGCTGCGAAGAGAGTCCTATTTTTACGTTAGCATAAAAAGATACATGCCAAATGTACACACTAAAATGCTCTGTGTACAAATTTTAAAAATACGTGTATCATAAAGAAACAAGAAAATCCACGCCAAAGTACATAAACTCATACTTGGTGTAATAATACGAACACATATTTGGCACAGGTTCTGAATCATGAGCACTATTAACAACAAATTCCAAGTGCCCCCAGCTCCAAAGCAAGGATGGGAACAGCCTTGTACTTTAAAAGGAACACTCTTCATTGTATTAAAAAGAACTTTTAACAAGGTAAAAAAATACAAATATGAAGGTATCAAATCAATGTCCAATCAGTATATAAGAAAGTTACTATGAGTAAAGAGAGAGTAACTTGTTCTACATTTAAAAGTATTTTCTTTACATTACAATCTATTTATTAAATACAAAGGATCTTAGAAGCCTAGCTGTATTCTCACTATCTGACCACTTCCTTCCTGTTCTCAATTCTAGCATACATGGGTTATGATCAAAAGTCTTAAAACACTCAGTGTCATAACGGAAAAAGGAGACATTTTTTTTCTCAGGTTTAAGCCTGATGTGACACATTAATGACAACAGTTGCTAGAGTCTGTTGATCTTTGTGTGCTTCCAGGTAGTATTAGCAGAAGACAGAGTTTAAACAGCCTTGGAATTTAAGCAAAATCATGAAGCCCGTAAGGCACAGTAAGACACTTCCTGGGGTGTAACACGAGACCATGGCAAGGCAATATGGGAGAGTATATCTAGCTTTTGACTGACTTGAAAATCAAGGAGACACTGCAATTATCAGCACGTTCAGCCTGTGCCTCTGAACTACAAACAACAGCATCTGGCTGGGATTTTACAAGCCTTTATTTTGATACAAGCAATCAGTTCTCAAGACACACACACCTGTGGACAGGATAATGCAAGAAACATACTGAAAGGCATAAAATCAGAAAGATAAAAAAACAACTCCCTAAACACTGAAAAAAAACCTTAATTGAAGAATCAACTGGTCCCATCCAGATCAGAACACAAAATTGTTTTGAAATGCTGAGTAACATCGGACCAGCGTTTTCATCCTAAAACATGAAAATGATGGGTATATACAATGACAAAATAGAAAGAATTATAATACATATCCTTACCATATACTAGGTTAGAATTCTGTTGCTTCAACTCCTTGATAATATCCACCACCATTGCAAGAAATGATGTGTCTCTTGTATACCCTATGGGCAAAAAAGCCACTTATGAAGTCTATTTTCATTAACTTTTTTTTCAGTATTACTATTTTTTTATAGAAATGTTGCATACTTCTCATTCTTTTGAACAATGGATTCTTAAAATAAAGGCATGTTAGTATTTCATTCAGGAATAATAGGTGCAAGACAAACTCAAGACAGTGCTTGCACAACTACAAAGACAACCTGAAAAATCCATTTGCTAAGTATGTTTTTACATGAAGTTTGTGACTTCTTTCAAGGATAGAAAGGGCATTTCTCTATTTCCTAATCACAAAGAACCCATTTATCCTGAAATTAATTTCTTAACCTTAGTTGAGTCCACTTTCTGTTTAGTCTCCATTACTTTGGAGCTATTCTCTGAAAAAGGAAGGAAAATAACTCTTCAGACATGCCACACCCTTCAAGCCAGAGTGACTGCTTTGGGATTATAATCAACACACTTAAGAGTTTCCAGTTTTCCCTGTCTTTAAAGCACTTTCCTACATGCAAAACCCATGAAATTACTCAAATCTGGCAACAGATTTCTGCTTACCTTAAGAAGATAACTGGTATAAAAAACTGACACTGTAATCTAAACCAGATGCATAGCTCTTAGTGAAACCTGATCAGTAATCTATATTTGAGAAGCAGGAACTGGATGAGAACCAGTTTTTAATAAAAACTGCACACAGAATCTCTCTTTTCTAGAAAGCATTCTGTAAGCAGTTCTCTTTGCCTGTATTTCTAAACACTTTACACCTGGCAGCAAGCAAAGGAAAACACTGCACAGTCATTATGTCCTGTAGAACTGTATCCACTCAAAGAAGCTTCATAGTAATAAAGGCAAATTGAGAGATACAGCAGAGTCAAAACCAAAATCCAACTCTGCTTACACTTTGTGCTGTATTCAAAGCACTGGTCCTTAAAGGTAAAGTAAAAAAATCAAGGGCAGACAACTGTGTACAAAATTCACGCTATGGTACTGCAGAGTGCCAGTACTGCTGATTTGGGAGAAAGGGTTAAACTCATGTCTTCATAATACATTTTAAAATAATACTCTGCCATCCTCATCCTTTTTTTCAGTAGAGGCACTCCCAAAACATTAATTAAACCTGTACATGACTGGCCTGTGCAAGTCTGTAAACCACACAGGGGGCTCAGCTTACCCATCCAATTATAGTATTCAGGCTGGAGAAGTCTGGCTGTTTGAAACTAAATGGCATGAGCAGTTGGAACTAAAATATACAGATGAAATTGCAGGAGGAATCTAAGGAGGGAAAATGTAATTGCTTGGTTTGGAATAATGAGGGATATGGTTTATAGCTTTACTTGTAACTTCTGGGAATTCCAATGAACAAGCTCTTCTTACCTGTGAGTACATAATCATACCGGTTGACCTTGTTCAGCTTAAGTCCTTCATACAGTTCATGAAGCTCATTTGAATTTAACACCTGACCCTTCCAGTGGGAATATCCTGCAAAATAAATGCCAGGTAGTTTTTCAAGAGTTAGATTTTTCCATTTAGGATCACACAGATTATACACTTGAAGGGATTGTATCAGATACTACCAACAGGAAGCATTTCCAACTCCTCTTCTGTAAAATACTGTTGACTGCTGTTGCTTAATAAAAGCTGCTGTCAGCAGAACAGTCAGCACACTCAACTTTTTCTTAGCATCTCTGTTTCTCAAAGGAGCCAGAGTGACTACATTGGAGTTTGAGACTGTCCATTTATCAGCAAATCAAGCAGAGCACAGCCAAGCTGCTGCAAGTTTTCCTATGGAGTCTATGTAACTGTACCTCTCCTGTGTGGAGGGGGACAAACATATGTTTTAGACTTCACTGGAGGAGGCTGTCAGTATATTTTTCTTATTTTATGCTAAGAAAAAAAAATAAGAAAAGAAAAAAAAAAGATTGACAGGTAGATGACAAGCTCAAACAAGCTTGTGGATCTGTCTGGACACAGAGATGCAGCACTGCTTCACCCATCAGATATGGTCTTCACTGGGACCTGGGACCTGCATGTAACAAATAGCGATCACAGCAGAACATTGCCATGTATGCTTTTTAAACTTACAGTGTCACCTGACAGATTGTCTTAAAAAAACAGCACAATTTTAATGCTGAGGATACTGGGGGAGGCAAATGAGTATCATAAAGACACTATAAACAGACAAATAATATCCATATACTCTTATTCTTGAATGATTTCTAAGAATTACAAGCTGATGTTCTTGGCTGAGAAGTAGATGAAAGATTAAGTTACTTGGGAGATGCTGAACTGATTTCAGGAAACAACAGACCAAGCTCCATGGTAGCCCATTTCAAGGGAAGAAAAAAAAAAAGAAAGTCTTCCTTAACAGACTCTAAATATTTGTTGAAAAATGTAAATGCACCTTGCACCTTTCCATTAAAGCCTGCCCATCTAGACAGCAGCCATCACTTCTGTTTATATAAGAATGGGGTTTCCTCCAGGATATTAGATGAAGAATCTACAATTCAACTCTCCCAACCTCCATAAATTGAGTTTGTTAAAAAGCTTCTCTTTTATTAACTGGAATTAGGAAAAGTGAAATGTTACATGGGGTACCTTCTTTCACACTACACCCGGATAAAGAAAATGGTATTTTGTTTGTTTTCATTTCTGCTCTTGGAGTTAGAAAATTCTGTGATAAAAGCTGTTGGCTTTGATTATCACTCTAAACTGTGTTATTAGAGTAACTGCCAAAAGGTGCCTAGAGCCTAGGATAAGCACATTTTTCAGTTTTCCTTCTTTTAAATGCAAATACACCCACAGTAGGTTGAGCAGATGGATCATTTTGTTCTCCTCAGCTCACAAAAGCCTAGGGTCTAAAACACGACTCACTGCCAGCTGGCTGGGGGACTGACTCACATCAGCCACCACCGATCCCCTCCCTAGCAAATGCTTTTATAAAAAGTCTCTGCGAAGAAAGAGACCAAGTGAGGGATTCCAGTGTGTTAGTTCCACTCCAGAACATACTAGTACTTAAAACAGCAACAACTAACACCTAGGCACATGTCTAGCCCCAAGTATAATGAGGAACCCTTGATGACAACTGACTCAAGTATTCAGTTTATTTAACACAGTGAAGATGTTTGCTCTGTCCCATCTGCAGCTTCAGAGAGAAATAACCTGCCCTCCCCTCTTCCTCCAACCTCTACTTCTATTATCACTGCAAAGGCAGCCCATATAGGGACACAACAAAGTCCTTTTTATTCCATTGTGCCCATCAATGAAACCAAGTGCAGTTTTCAGCCAGAGTGAAGATCAGCTGGCAAAGTTGGGGTCATTAATCTTACACACAGCCATAAAAACAACTGATAGATTGTCCAGACAATCTAGATACTCCTGGGAGCCATTCCTATAATTTGTGAATGTGCAGGGTCTACCTAATTAAAAGTTCACCTTCCTATGTCAAGCTGTTTTAAATAGACAATGCACAGGGCCTGTGTCATACTGTTCCTCCACTGATGGAGAGAAAAAAATACCTAAACAAAATGTTAGGTAGCTGCCCAGCTTAGCTCAGGAATTGTTAAATTATCCACATGAGGCAGGGACATTGTCTGAACTCTGTAGCAGTGACTCCCAAGGGTACCTAGAGGATCCTCTTTACCACCAGGTAACACATATAACACCAAAGTCTAAACACATGATAATGGGAGGAAAAAAAAGCACTAGGGACACTCTCAGGGAAGCCCCAGCTATTCAGATAGAAGAAAAAGGGCAATGCCTTCACTGGATCTGCAGAGAACTGTTGCTTCACTGGGAGCTGAACTGTGTTCGAGTATGCAGAAACAAAAACCTGGTGAAGAACATGGAAACCACCCTAAGCCCTTCCTCCAAGGTAACTTCATGTAACATGATGAACAAGGGACAAAACACACAACCCTGCATCTATCCTACTCCGTTAGTGGCCTATACAATCAAAAGGCAGCTTCTGTAGAAGAGAAGAAAAAGCTAGTTACTCATGTTCAAAAAGAGTTTAACTAACTGAAGGATGGATATCTTAGGGTCCCAAGAACAGAGAGAGGGATGATCTTGAAAGAGGAGAGGCAGAAAATCCAGATAGATACTGTATGGTCAAAAAACTACTGCACAGTCTTGAACCCATAGCTAGGAATGCCAACAGCAAGCTTAAACATGCAAGATCAAATTGGCTTTAGGAAAGTGGCTGGAGTTAAGGATGATAATGAGGAATCGCTGACTTCCTCAGCTCAACATATGGATTTGGCTGGCAATGAGCACATTTGAAGACCCAGAGCTGCCTTGCAAGACCTAAAAGAAAGTCAATGTCCCAGAAATGTTTTTCCCATGCCTACACTACTAAACATGAGTATCTGGGAAACAGCAAGAGAACAGTGAAAACCTTCTATTTAACTTACTATAACCCCTACACTGCAGTTGTATTTTCGCTCAACAACACAGAAGTTCAAAGTCTCACAGTACTTGGCTATTTGCACAAACTGTACAAAAACCACAGCCAAGAAAACTAAACTGAGTTTCAAGCTTGTCCTTGGCAAAACAACTGAAGGCCATTTGGAGACCAGGGAGCTGGTTAGTCATAGGAGCCAAAACAAATTATTACTCTCTTATATTGGATATTAAGGTGAGATCTTGGCTTGTATCTTCCACAGAGAAAAAGATGAGTCCTCCTTGTTTTACTTAAAAGACCTCTGAATAATTCTCCTCAGCACCAGACTGGGAGAGGAGAAAGAACATTTCAAATCATGATACAGCTCTCCAAAACTGCATGTGGCTGAGACAGGACTGCACTAGGCTCCCAGGTCAGTAATAATTTTAAACACCTAGATGAACATAAACATTTAAACACCTTTATACCCCTTCTGCATATCTGTGTTATGGCCTTTTATTGCAATTAAATGTTACATATTTGCTTTTAAGTAGATAAAGGAAAGATAGGTTAGATATAGTGCCTCGTGTCACTTACCCCTCTGATAAACGTATTCATTAGTCTCTAAGAAAATGTCTTGGTTCACCTACATGAAAACTAAGAAAAAAATCTGCAGCCAAGAGAGGCAGATAATACTGCACCTAAGATGCATTTACATACTTTTTTTGCCTTCCTCCACTGGTACATTTTTTTCTCCTTTGAAATCTATTTATAAGTCTCTTACTTGCAGAAACTAGGGAAAAAGAATACAAATCCCAGGCATACCAGAACAAAACAAAAACAAAAAACAAGTTACCATTTAAGTATAACAAGGCATGTAAGACTTCTTTGTTTTCCATCTGAGAACATTCTATTTTGAGGTTTGAATTCCTCCTGTGGTGCTCCCTGCAAAACTGTTCCAAGTGGTCTCAGTAACCAAGTATTTCACATGGGAAAAAGGAAGAAAAATCTAGTGTTTAAGGCACATAACAGGCAGGTAATCTGGTCCCAGCTGTGCGACAAAATTCACATGCAAACTCTGACAACCAACCTGGTCTAAACACATGGCTTAATCTTCAGCTGTCAGGAGAACTTCAACAAAACCAGAAATACAATCCAAGTTCTCCACTGTGTTTTTTACAGCTGGTCAGTGTGGGAGTAAAATACCAGTGTTAGGCACAAGTGGAGATCTTTTCCTTCTGTTTCACGCTACACAGGTGTGAATGACTGCATCCATGTGGTAAACTGTGAAGATTCCCATCAATGAGACCTAACCATAATCTCTTATGTATTCGGCTACCAGCCAACCCAACGACCCACTACACATCCACCAAGCGGAAGTTTGGAAAAACAGGCTATTTGTTCTGGAGTGGTTTCAAAGGTAGGATTTGGATGGCAAAGTAAGCACATGATATGCTTATCATTAACTACCAATTAAAAACAAAAATGCAAATCAAAGAATTAAAAATGCACCCCAAATGATCAATAATATTATTTTAAAACCCTAGATTTTTATTTTTGCACATCATACAATGAGATGCTTCTGCAAACAATACAACAAAACAGAATTAAAAGCACAGAATTGTTGTAGGTTGTATGACAGCTTTTTTTATTTGTACATGAAGCCTGATGCTATTCAAGTCACTCTAATCATAAAAGTTCCTCACCAAGCAACATGTCAAACTATTCTCTGAGGGGGACTGATTTTAAGCACATTTTCCGAATTTCAGGATTATCAGAGACTAAAGAACGCTGAATTTTCTGAGCAGGAGTCAGCAGAAATATGCCCCATGGCATCTTGCTAATTTAAAGACAGGACAAAAAAAAATGATTCACCAAAGAAAGCCTGTGTTAGTCATAAATTCTCTCTGCCTTTTATCTTTTGCTGACAAGACCAGGTTTAAAGACAAGGATGGGAAAAGAAAGAATCCCACGTTCAAAACACTTTTGCTACCTGTGACCCTTTTGGTGTGTCACACTCTTCTAGAAACTGCAATTCAGATTTTGAAGCACTACAGTTTTTATGCTGACCATAGAAAGGTTTCTCATAAGATCTTGTTCTTGTAGGAAAACCAAGTCATCTTTGCCAGTTCATCCAGGATTCCCATGTATTGTGGCACTGCCCCAGACACAAGTCACAGCCTAGCAAGGCAGTTGCTGTTCATTAATCCCTGCAGTGGCACAGACAGCACATACATTGATTTGCAGGTACTAGTTTGTGTGCAGACATGCATAAATGTTCATAACTTGGAAAAGTCTTCATATGAGGACACGACATCTTGTTGCACACTGCTCTCAAAGAGGAGGTGCAAAGCCACTGGGCTTAGAATCTTCCTTTGATTTAAGAACGGGTAGAAAGGGCTTAATGGAAACACTGCCGTGTTAAGACAACTAGACCTGCCATAAAAGGGACTATGAGCCCTTTTCCATTCCTTCCTCTTTCAGAAAAATGACCAAGACTTTTAAATATAATTTCCTTTTACACACTCTTGGTAAGTCCAAAAACTAACCGTATTTTGATTTTTTTCCTGAAAGCTCTTCTTTCTAAAGTCATGAGGTTGTGAAGCAATCTTTGCAATTTTTAACACATTTACTAAGATAATAAAGATTACAGAAAAAATCCTGAACACCAGGAGATAAAACAGTCCAAAAGTTCTAAATATTTTAAAGACTTGTGATCTTGGAGACGTTTTTTGATTTGGAATGTTCATTTAGGCCTTCTTAGGGGGAAAAAAACAAAAAACAACCCGCTACTTTATTGTTCCTTATACTATCTTCATCATCTGCCAAACCTTGAAGGAAGCACTGGTAATGTTTCTCCAGCTGGGATACTATTAACAAGGAAAAAAAAAAATCTTCCTTCTTTTATGTTTTAAAAACCTGGTCATCCTATTGCTAATGTAATTTTCCTACCTTCAGACATATTCAGTTTATGGTTCAACAACACCTCTCTTAAGCTCTTTTAATGCCCTATAAAGCTGATTTAATCTTGAAACTGAAAGCCAACAAATGACAGGTGTTCATCCATCTTGAGTGCCAAGTTATTTCATGTGAAAAAATTGCTTAATTTCTGGAAAATTACAACAGTTTTAACCAGTTATCAATAACTAAACAATAAAAAAAATTCCCAAACTCTAAAACAAAATAAATTTTTAAAAACAACCCATAAGTCACAGATAAATATCTCTTAAAAAAATGAGAGAACCTTTGGACTGAGCCAAAGGTTACAAGCAAAATAAGCAGCTTTTTGCCTGAGCCAGGAAAGACCCCCACCCCTTGTTTAATTATTACCTCTTTCTACTTTCCCTCAACAAGCAGATAGCTTTCCAGCTACCTTTGAAACATTCACTCCTTCACAGGGTGACACTAAATTCCTTCCATGATATGAATATCGTACAACCTTTTGAAAGCTGCACGGATCTCAACATAGTAAGAGGGCAGAGGCTTCCTGGTCTACTCTATTTTAAAAACTTAGAAGCTTATTAACAGAGTTGTATATGTGAGATATTAGTAAAGTATTTCAACTTCTGTCATTTATTTAACTAGCGAGTTTTTCAGAAACAATTTTTGCTCTTTTCCAAGATGTTAAAGTCAGAATCTGTTTCTGAATTATTTTTTGAAGATATTCTTAGAACTTCTTTATCTAGAGCAGACCTCTCCTCAAACAAGCTGCCATCACCATAAGAATAGATGTACCTCTATTGATCCAAAACCAGCAAGGCCTTTATGGTTGAAAGGTATTGCTAAAATAAACATAAAATTCAGCTTTCTTTTGAAAAATAAAATCCTCTAGCACTGTGAGTGTTAGGAGCTCAAAGTATTATGTAAGTGCATCATGTTTGCCCAAAAGTATTAACACTCCATCCCCTCTCTCCCTCCAGAATGGAATTTCAGGATATTGGCTAGCCATCTAGGTACACCGATAAAGAGAGAAAACATTGAGTCTAGCTCAGTATTCTTCTGATGTTTGGGCTGGTAACATGATTATGAGTATCACAGGGCCATAAAGAAACAAAGAAACAGAACTGAAGACTCCCCCATTCACAGGGCTGCCTTTATAGATGGCTGTATTTGTGTCACTTCACTGACTGAGTTAATGAGATTACTGCCTAACAAAATAAACTCACACTCTGAAGTAGCAAAACAGTACATTACCACATCATATCACACCCTAATCCCAAATTCAGACTTCTGTGTGACTTGAATTAAAACATGAAAATTACATTTCTCTCCTATATCCTGAAAATGTGAGTGAAAACGTAAAACCAATCTCCTTTCCCCTAACTTGGGACGAGGTAGGCCACATGTTGAGTAGATCTGAGTGACTGTGCAGTGGTACCTGAAGACACATGTAAGATTTTTACCTGTGTGGTTTGAAAACTGGACAGAGTTCACCGTATCAACTTCAAATCCCAAAACCTAGAACAGAACACAGGAACACTTATTTTACTAACACACCTTCGTTAATACGTTATCAGGATCACAAAACACAAGAAAACATTTTTATTTCCTAGTGCATGTTTAAAAAACATGAGAGCTGCTTTAAGCTGAAAGCTAAGCCAAAATACATGCAACATAAACAAACACACAGTACATCTCCAGCGTGGAACAGAAGTGACACCAGCAACAGCACCAGAAAAACAGAGCTTTGGATCCTCAGGGTGAAGTTCATCTGGGGATAAGAACAGAGAAGCTGGCCAAGCAGCAATGACTGAAGCCCTGAAGAAAGCCTTATCTCATCTTCCATGTCAAGAAATGAAGTCTAAATTTCAAGGTACTAAATTAACGTGAAATAACGAGGGAGGATGCTGTTAGTATTCCAGAAAGCTAATCTTTCCAAAAGGACAGAAGAATTTAAAAAGGGATCAAGGTTATTAGCCTTCAACATCACAAGCAGTTTCTTTACAACTAAAAGAGAATAGAAAGAAATTGCGGAGAATTAATTTGAGGCATGATTAAGCAATCAAAGGGAGAGAGATCTTAAAAACACAAAGTAATAAAAGCTTAAAGCATGCTCCAAATGCCACCTGCTACCTTGCATTTCCAACAATCCAAATATTGAAATATCCAAGAATTTGCTACTGCAATCAACAACCACATTCTTGTTGCCCAAAAAGAGAGAAATACAATGAAAACATGACCATTGAATCCACAGAAAATTAATTAAGGTTTTTAACCTGACAATAAGTGCTTAATATAGGCTTGCATTGTTGTTCAGGCCATTTTTTGACATTTCGATCTGTCATGAAAGAAAGTCTAATGCAACAGTGACATAATAGTCTGACAATTAATATCTGTTTCCACATCCTAAGAACTTTCCTCAAGACGAGCTGCTATATATGGCTCAGTGAGTCATACCAGGAGATAATAGTAATGATGCGTCACTGTTTATGACCCACATTCAGGCAATTTGCTGAGGAGGGGGGAGTGAACAAACAAGGCTTTGGCCAGTCACGTTTTTCACTGAGACACACGCTTCTCCCCTTTCATCATGAAGGCAACCCCTTCACAGATATTAAAAATCTCTGGGTGTTTGGTGCCAGACATTAGGTTTTCCCTGTGCATGTACTTCATCTTGCACATGAAAGCCATTAAATTATAAGCCCCTTATTTCAAACCCTGGGCTGCTACAAAATGGAGGTACTTGCTGCAGCGGGTAGTTCCTTATGCCTGCAGGCACTGCATTTCTGTCCTTTCACAGCTCAGAGCCCACACAAGTCTTCACAGAATAAGTCTCTTCTTTCAACATAGAATAAAGATTTCTGTTCATCCCTAACCAGAAAGCAAAGTAATCTTACATTAATGACAGGCAGAATGGTGGGTTATCTGTGCCTGATCAAGTGAAAATTAACCTCTGCTTCTACTATGACATGTGTCTTGTTTCACCTTGGTGGATTTTATTTTAAGACCCAGGAGTTAGAGGGGTGAGAACATGATAATATTATGACCTTAACCTTGATGTATGCACATGCTCTTAAAATAAATAAATGAGAATACTGCCTCTAACCAGACAGTCATCCCATATGCAAATCCCTTTCCTATAATGAGGAGACCTATAAAGGTAGTAAGAACTTCTAACAGCTTGATAACAATTGTGAATAAGTCAACTTCTGCACAATATTTAGAACATGTCTCTCCAACTGTTTAACACTTGACTCTATCAAACACAACTACTAGGATTTAATTACTAATCAGGTTTACACTTAGTGCTTTAGGTAAGAAGAATACACAACAGTTAGTAGGAAATGCTGCTCCATAACATGGATAAACAGGCACTGTACCAGCAGGGGGTCACAAGAAAGAGCAAAGAGTCTTTACTGACTCCAACAGCACTAGCTATTTTTTGATTTCTCAACAAGCTTTTCTGCAGGATTAGGGATTTTTTTGTTTGCTTTGGCCAGTTAATGTGCTTCGAACAGCAGAAGGGAGGCCAGCTCTTTAGGACACAGCTATGTCTCAAGATTAGCTGAGCTGAACATTTAGTAAAAGAGAGTTCAAGAAAGTAATTTTGAATAATTAAGGAAAATTCACAGCTCAAATTTAGCAAAGGAGCTCAATATTTTCACTTCTCTCACTGGTGCAAAACAAGCTAAAAAGCATTAAAAAGTCTTCATAACAATCACTTACCGGTGTTAGTCTACTCCGTCACAGTTACTAATCTGCCCTAAAGTTTTCCTTTGAATCAATGCACATTACTGTAATCTAACATACCAAATTACGCAATTCTCTACTTCTGATTCAACCCTCAAAATAAGCTACGGTTACTCTGCTACAAGGAAGTTCCCTTTACAAATATTATCAAAACAGAGAGTAGTTAAAAGGCATAAAATGTCATCTAAAAAAAAATTATAATTAGAAAACATAATTAGTACTACCTTTAATACAAGAGTTTAAAATATTGAGGTCTAGGCTTAGTATAAAGTATTACAATAATTAATAATAATTATGAAGTCAAGTTAAGCCAGTATGTGTTTTCTACCAAGGCAAACTGAATTGAAGTCTCAAGGAATTCAGTCATCAGATGACCTGAAAACAGTGTACACAAAAATGCAAAAAGCAGCTTTTGACAGCAACCATCTCTTCCATGGCTGCAGAGAAAACTGTGTCTTAAAATGAACACAAATCAAAATCAACAACTTGATAATTTTAAGTGGATAAGGAAATGTTATCTCCTTCCCTCAACCAACGACTAAAAACCAGTACCAACAGTCTTGTTAAATCTTTTTAATATATACCCATATTTTTAATTTCTTGGGCAGACCCAACTAAAAGCACTGATTATGAGGTATTTTAATTAATTAATAAGTTCTACCCAAAGCAGAGGTTAAATAATTTTAAAGTGAAATTTAACTACCCAATTAGAAATACAGTATTTTCACATGTATGGACCTAGAAAACTGAGATCAGAGCAAGCATATGAAATCAGATAAATAATTTTTTTAAAAGTCTGTCATATTTGTACACAAAATTATGCATTTAGCTGGATATCAACAATTTTTCAACATTATAAAACAGTAAGAATCAAAGTTTCCTCTGGAAAATTACTAGAAACTACAAATTCAACACAGCATTAAAGTCAATTATTTATATTAAATTTCTTGCTTGTTAATAGAAACACATTATTTTAATTAATTGATTTAAATTCAATCTACTTCAGTTACTGTTGTTTTCCTTCATACAGAAACAAACCTCTTCATGTTTCTGAAGCAAATACATAAATAGGCACCAGTTCAGTTCACCTTTCCTTATTTCATGAGCAACCAAAATGCTGTAATGCAGAAAAGTCTGAACGTCAAATGGTAAATAAATATGAAATGAGATTTATACAGTAGCTTTGTGGGGTTCAGTCAACAGAGAACAAAATTGAGGCTGGTAATGGATTGTCACAGTTCACTGAAGTACACAGCTATCACAATGCTTTGCTCAAAAATACAGCAGAAGGCACAAATAGCACTTTGTCAAGTCCACCTGCCTGACAAAGGCTTTTACTGAGATACTGACAGCTTCACCTTGTACTCCCTGATGCACCACTTTCCCTTTGCTTCCTGAAAGTCTCTGCATATCAACCTGCTACGTTTGCAAAACAATCCAATGTTGGGAATTAAAACTGCTGTTCTTCTGTGTGTGTATAAACTTATGCTTTTTGAACCTCTGTGTAAAGAAACTGAAGGAACTCACTCCACCTGGACTTTGCCAATGTCAGAACTAGCACCTTCAGATTGTACTTGATTAGTTTGAGGACTGAGCTTACTAAGAAATTCACAATAATGCTTAACTTATTGCTTCTCTATACCAGCTTGTAAATAGTCTATACCTGTGTCACTTCCCCTGAAAGAGTCCTGTGGTGATACTCTGGCGTTTGGTTTTGGAAATGTAGGTTAGGGCAGATATTCTGCAAGCCTACAGGACTCCAGCTGCCACGGACACGCATCATCTATGTTATCATTATCCCGTTTTGGATGAGCTGGTCTCTTACAGGCCCTCCAACAGAGAATTCCTTTTCCACACTCCCTCTCTGATGTCATTCTGTGTATGTATCATTTGCTCACAGAACTGCAAATCCCAGGCAAAATCCAAACCCATAGCCAGTTTGGGCAAGGATGATAAGCACTCTTCAAAGGAAAAAGATAACTTGAGTTCACCCTAAATCTCTCAGCCTCCAGTCTAAGCACATGTCCACCAATGTTGTTCTTAAGAACCAAACCAAGGTTGCCTATATCACATCATACAGTGACATTTACTGCAACTGAAGTCTCAGAGGAAAATGGGTGACTCCAATATACTGTTTAACTATCCTCAAGCAAAGGAGGCAGAACTATCAGATTTCTAAAAAAACAACAACAACAACAAAACCCAACTAAATTTAAAATAAATGTAAAAAATTGCAAAACATCAAAACCGGAGGCGTTTAGTACTTGGAAGGCATGGCTGGCAGATCTGAATGACCCATTCCAGAAAACTATTTGGAACATTAAATCACACTGGAGTAGAATGCTTTTGGAGAAAGAGTAAGCATGAAACACATTCCAACGTTATGCATGAAATCAAGTTGGACTTAATTTCTTCTCAAAAATACCTGAAGAAAAGGGACAAACAACATCCAGTTCTTCCCACAGTGCAGTAAGTGCTATCCCAGCCTTGCAAAGAGAAAGTCCGTCACCTGTGCAGACACTTAGTCTATAGAACTATCAGAATGCACATCTTCAAACCAGTAAGTGCTCAAGGGAAAAAAACAACACACAAGAAAGGGAGTTCAAATTACATGGATAACTTTTTGCAAAACTGGACCAACAGCTAGTTTTCCTAGAAGCACAGAAGTAATTTAAACACACATCCATCCACCAAGGCACAAATAAAAAGCCAAAAACCGTATCTCCTTCAGGATTCAAATTCTATAAATGTTTTTCTCATAGAACAAC